GGGCGCTCGGCGAAGTGGGGGTGTCGGAGAGGGAGGGACAGCTATTTTACACGCGCACGTCCCGTGCAGCGTTCGGGGCACACTTACACACAACAGAGATTTTTTGTTGTGTGTCTGAAAGTCGAATTTAACCGGCGCCCTGTATTTTAATTTGCTAAACCTGGCGCCCCGTGGGCACCGGCAGCCTCCCTTTCTGGTTCTGGGGACTTGAGGTTTTTGGTATGTGGACCGCCCTGCGGATGCTTCTGCCTGGGGAGCTCAGTAAAGTGGCGGAGGGGTGCTGCAAAGGAGAGCTGATAATCTCACTTTCTAAGTGACTTTTCACAAATCAAGTGTGTCCTTAGACATATGGTCCAATTAAAAAATAAAAGCAATAAATACGGAGGAAGGGTTCAAAATTGCATGGTGCGAGGAAAAACATTTATTTCTATTTGTGCCATTTAAGATTGTCTTTCCTTAAAGGGGAATAAATGGTGATGGAAGGAAACTTGACTTGGGTTGGTGAACACACAACACAATATACAGATGATGTATTACAGAATTGTACACCTGAAACCTATATAATTTTATTAACCAGTGTCACCCCAATAAATTAAAATTTTTAAAGGCATAAAAAAAGGTTTTCTTACACCCTTAATTCCTGAATCCCAGTCATCTTTTCTGTGGGAGAAAATTGCTCCCTTTCTCAACACATAAACCTGATATTAGTGTATACATCAGAGAATACTCAGAAGTCCAATTTAAAATATTTAAAAGTATTTCTTTTAATATCCTGAATAAAAGTTCTATTTTCTTTGGCAGAGTTGTAATTATTTTTGTTTTGTCTACCAGAAAAACACAACTTGCATTTCTCCAATATTCACCAAATTTTGTAAAGGAAACACAGTTTTTAAAATATAGAAGGCTTTAGAGGGAAACTGATTTGAGCTTTTAACTGGGTATTTTCTGAAAGCTGCAAAATAGATTGTTTGCCTGCAAATGATTGAGAGTTGAGTGAAGTGAACTCAGCGCCCTGGGTGGAAGCTGTGCCTTCAACCCAAGGCCTCTTGTGCTTTCATAAACATGATCGTCATTTATTTGCCCACCGGGCAAGTAAAAACGCTGACAATCTCTTCAGAATCTATGGATAGTCATCTCCTCTGGGTCCTTTGCAAATGAAAGTAAAGTCAGGATGAAGGGAAAACTCATCCAAGCTTATCTTTTCCCTTGTATCTGCCACACATCTCTTGTGAAACCTTTCCATCAACATTCAAGTCCCCTCATGCTAAAAACATTTTCTTTCCATGACTTTTGTGAGCTTGCCATAGAGTTATCTCAAAGCATCACATTTGGAGAGGACTCTGTTCTTGCTCAGAAATTCCAAACGATTCCTCTTCTTTGAATAGCAAAGCACCTAAAATCAAGTTTTTCTTGAGAGAGAGAAAACTTTCCAGTCCATTTCTCTCCTGCTAACACCCTTTCTCCCCTCGCCTTTACAGTTTAGTTTCTTGAAATCAACCAACTCCATCTGGCTTCCTACCCAAATCACTGCACTGAAAGGGCTCTTACCAGTGACACGGATGAACACCCACTACCTAAACCCAATGGATATGTCTCTCTGCTCACCTTTCTTACCCTCTCACATGTACCCATAATGGTTAGTTGAACACACTCTTCCCCCAGTTCCATGCAATCACATATTCACTTTTGCTCCTTCCTTTTACTTAGGGGCAGATATGTGGGACCTGATGCTTCTACAATTTGGGGCTCTGTTTTAAGGGGAAAAAAAGAAATCTTTCTTTTGAAAATTTTACAACTGTGTCTAGGGCTCCTCCC